CACAAAAACTTTGTTTTAGGTTCAGTGTGGCTGATACTAGGAAGCATTCTATCACTGAGGTGACCCGATGACAGAACAGCACTCTTTCATAGAAAGAACATGAGACTTATAGTGAGGGACATGTGTTCAAATTCCAGCTCTAAGCATAACTCCATGAGTGACCTTGAACAAGAGTAGCTTAGCAGAGTTTCCTTAGTCCTAAATATGTATTATTTATTACACTTACAATACTACACTCATCCTTGGGATGGTTACGTCAGATTTTGTGAAAATGCTTGACACATAACAGCACCTTGACAAATGTTACCTAATTCTCCCTCTGAGGAAGCCACAAAGATGAACACATGCATGCTATTCCTATTTGCACGTCTCAGTGCCCTGAGTTCTGGGCTTGAAGCAGTATTCCTGCTTTGACCACAACAGAGGTGCCCTGGCTAGTGGTCTAACAACTACATTCCATTATTGACCCACGAGATAATTTGACATTAATCAAAGCTATAAAATATCTCGAGGCCCTACATGGCCTACTTACTGGCTTGTTTGTCTCAAAATTTCATTTCTAATTTAAAAATACAACTAGCGTGTTCCCCAATTACAACTGGTCTTTATGTCCACTTAATTGCCCCGTCAGCTAGCAAATGATTGTCTTTAATCATAGCATCAGGCCAATGACATCCTCCTACCAGGTCAAAGTTTCTTTTGAGAACCGTCTATTATTATCGGCCATAAAACTGTCACACATCTTATCACAAAGATTTCTGAAAACAAGATAATAAACACTTATCCTGCAGATTTCAACATGAGTCAGTCATCTTCTTTGATAGAGAACTATGTGGGTTTAAAGCTTAAGAACTAAAATTGCCCAACTATCATATATTAGAGTAAAAGAATACAGGTACTAAATAACTGTTTTCAAAGGTTAGTGGTAGAGAGACGTGAAGCAATTCGCACTGAATCATCATCCTCTTTGAGGATGGGGCATTTCATGCCACTAAGAAAAGTAACATCATCACATTATCAGGGCCCTGTGGTCAGCGCTCTACCAAAACTACTTATGGCTCCTGCATCCTCTCTTATTACACACACACCACCAAAGACTCTTAGAGATTTTCGGTTGCTACACAGTAGGGTAGATACCAATTGCTTAGCTGTCCTTGTTAATGGGATGGGCCCCAAGAATTCTTTTTCTCTCCTTCCATATACTTATAATAATGACAGACACACAAATTTCTTCTATTTATCAGGTTATAATTTCAGCATATACATACAAAGCTATGGTTCAAAGCAAAACACATCAACTCTCCTCCATCAACAGATGGCATTAGTATTATTCAATTATTCTGAGGTTTGCTGAGTTTGAGCTTATGTTTTAAGTATTTAATGACTGAATATCAACATATCCTGTAAGTACAAAATGTGAAAGAAAAATCATGGCATCAAAGCAGAGAATTCTAAAGATTAAAATGGTAAGAAAATAAATCACTTATGTGAAACCACCAGTGGAATGAATAGATAAGACCCAGGGGCAAGCCATAGATAGGACAGACACACTGATATTCAAGGGTCAGGGTGAAATCGAAGGAACCAGCATAGAAACTAAGAACGAGTGAGGGAGAAGTAGGAGGAAAACTAAGAGAACGTTATGCCTCTGGAAACTAATGAAGAAAAACTGGATAAGGCGAAGCCATAGAAACTTAACCTAGAAAACAAAACAAAACTCGCGAGGAAAAGGGGCAACTCAAAAAACTGAAGCACCTGCTACGAGAAATGGTTATTTGTAAAGTTAGGTCTCACCTAAATTAATCTGTAAGGTCTGTACCCTTACAGTAGAGATTCTAAGTGAGGCCTAAAAGAGATCATTTGACAGCTGCCAAAAGGCACTATGATTCTTCATTTTTAGAAGTCAACCACTAAAAGATAACACCTTCAACCCTGCTTTGAGAGCAAGATGTCCATAAAACATACAGATTCTCGCTCAAATCATCCTGCGTGGTCTAATAAACAAGTAAAGATCTTAGAATTTTTAATATAACCACAAGAGCACTTCATTGTTTCGAATCTTTAAAGACCTAAATGGATAAATTAGTTCCCTAGTTGATTAAGGATTGGGTTTAACACCAAATCTCATGTGAAGGCCCAATTCCAATCCTGTGAAGCTTTTACTAACCACTTTTCCAAGTGGATATCATCTTTCTCCTTTGACTCCATAGTACTCCCCATCCCCAGCCCACCCCCCGGCCAAAACCACTCAATCGGCAATCACATTGTCTTAAAAGAACTCATATTTTTATACCAGAACTGGATAGATGCTTTACATATGTTTTCTCTGATCCTTATTACTTTACAAAACTGGGATTATCCCTATTTTAAAGATGAAGAAACTAAAGCTTAGAGAGGTTACCCAAGGTGGTACGGCATGTAAGGGACAAAACCAGGATTCAGACCCACAGCTGTCTTACTTCAGAGCCTTTCCCTTCGCCCACTATACAATTCCGCCTGTGGCACAGAAGCACTGCGCTAACTCCCAGTCACTGTCTCTGTGGGTCCTGGCAAGTTTTTAAGTCTCTCAGGGCCTCAGTCTTCTCATCCATGAAATGAGGATGATACATCGCAAGTACTGCATCGCTGGGAAGATTAAAGAAGATAATGTATGTAAAAGTCCTTTATAAACCATAACAATTTTTATTACATTACTAGATTTTCTGCCCCTTCATGGCAGGTTCTTACGCCTTGCATGCATTTGCCCTTCAACACCCAATAAGGGGTTTCCTATGAATTGAACACCATCTACTCGTCTTTGGAAAGACCTGAGACACCGTTTCCCCCTCTAAGGAGGAAAGTGGTGTCCCAGTCCATGACGCTTGGATTAAGTATCCTAATCCAGGCCTTAAATGAAAAACTCCATACGCCCATCAAACACGAGATTTTAACAGCCTGCGCGGCATTTAAACTGTCTGGGTTTTCCTCTCCAATGCGGCTTTCAATGCCATAACAGTTTGACAGATTAAATCCCAAATGAAAAATACCAACACCTTCTATAAGAAAACATTCCTAGAAGGACGGAGAGCAGGAAAAAGGCCTAGCTTGTTATCAGAGTTAACAGAGACCTTATTGTTCTGTGTGCTAGCTGATTTACAGCCTCCTGATGACAACAGTATAACACTGACTCATCACTATTACGAATTTGATTTACTTTAAGACCCATACATATTAATTTTCTTTAGGCATACCCATCCCCCTTACCCACATAAGGTGGACATATCTGGTGGTATATCCAGGGAAGCGGCCCGGTATTCTCCAAAGTAAGGCTACCAGGTTTGCTACCAGGTAAGCACAGTGGAAGGCAGCCAACCCCTGCGCTGCTGTTACACGATTCCTGGAAAGTGACTTCCCATCTTTGTCTGGGACGGATCTGTTTCCCAGTCTGTAAAACGTAGGCTAATGTTACTGATTTTGCCTACTTCACAGATTTATTGTGAAGGTCAAATGAAATATGTTAAATTAGTTTACAAATTATAAATATATACCTGCAATAACTAGATAACCACCTACGACTTGTCCTCTGGTAAATGTCTGGTATTAGCAAAGCTGAGATACTGATTTCTCTGGGTGTGTTCACCTGGTAGTACCAAAGAGAATTTTTTAAAAATCTACTCATTTTTGAGAAAAACACAACAAATGTTATCTTAACAGAAGCTAGGGAAGAGGTAGTTGGTAAAGTTGATCCTTCCTATGGTCCAGCAAAAAATAGCTTCCGATGGTTCAGTTATGCCTTCCTACAAAGTGTGAAAATGGACTGTTAAATCAAGATGTCGCCGCATACTGCATATGTGACGGGGTCACACACTAGGTAGTTTTACCTAGTGCCTCATTCTCTGCAAAATGCCAAGTGGATCAGAGTACTGAAAACCAGCCCTTCTTCTTATCTCCCCATTGGTCATGGCAGATGCTTCCTCAACACTTCTGGCAAAAAGAGAATAAGGAGAATTGAGAAATCAAAATTATTCTTAGATCCAGGACATGCCTCCCATCTCTCTTTGTGTTTCCTTGACCTAATTCCTTTCTGAACTGGGCATTAGAACCCACAGTGTTCGTGTAATTTACTAGCTGACCCCTTGAGCCCAGTAATTCTTTGAACTGCGTTATGAACTTTCACCAAAACTTTTAACTAAAGAAAAATTATCCGAACATCCAAAAATAGACTGAAAGCTAGAAAAGGTCCACGTTCACACACATAGTATAAATACAAAAGAAAAATTTAACCTAGTATCATTTTTGTTTTACATTTTCAGCCACAATAGTAAGAAAAAAGGAAGAAACATAATAAGCACTTTTGAGCCAATTTTGCCAGGGGCAAATACTTGAGGCACTCCTTATTCTTGGTTCAGTACAAAGAGGCTGAAATTTGCCTTTGAAGTAAAGATAAACAATACAAATTGAGCACCTGAAATCCTATTTTCCTATAAAACCCTTACACTCTCCCCTTGTTTGGAACTTGGGAACATTTCTCAGATAATCTCTGAATAGACTTCCCATTTTCCCAGAAGTATCTGACAAGTGGATGCAATGCTTCTTTGTGTCAAGGCCACTGACAATTTTACTATTTACCTAATTTCTGCACCCTTTTGTTGAAAAACAGTTTACCGATGGTGGTAAAATCATTGCACCATCTTTGTCCCGGATGATTTGTAAGTCACTTGAGGCAACAGTAACCTATCAAGTTTCTTGTACTGATGCCATTTGTTCCTTTTTTTTAAACGTTGTTTGTTTAGGTTTGGTGATTTTTAAAATACAAAAGCGCACTCGTGAAACATATCCTCTGTTTAATTATCTGATGGATGTGCTGACCTTGTCTTAGGAGGCCTTAAACTTCAAGAGTCCTGAATTGCAACCAGCATCATGGTGAAGGCCAATGTCAGCCTGCTCTATCTCGCGCTTCTAAGTTGTCCTGTATGAAATAATACTATCTGTCACCAGCAAAGGAAAGCAAGCGTACTCACCAAGTGAACATAAGGCACAAAGTACCCGAAAAGCGCAAGTGGTATTCCAACTGCCCACACTGCATAAGCTTTCACTTTGAAGATGGCAAAATTGAAAATTTTTTTTGGACGACTGAATTTTCTCCTGGAAAAGAGGGAGAATCGGTTGCCTCCTTTGGTTCCACTCTCTTTATCTTTGGCACTGGAAGCAACAGGTCGGTAAGTAAAGCCGGCCAGGAAGAGGACAAACATGAAGATGCAGAGGATCCTCAGTGTGTAGAAGAGGCCCACGCTGTCGATCAGAACCCTTAAAAGGAACGGCAGCAAAATTGTGAAGATGCTGCTGCCGGCAGTGACAATGCCATTCACCAGTCCAAGGCGTTTCTTGAAATAATGTCCCAAAATGACCAGCGACGGCTGGTATGCAAAGGAGCAGCCACTGGCAAATATGATTCCGTAGGTGAGGTACAGAGGTTCGATGGAACTGCGTAAAGATGAAAAAGAAGGAAAGGACTTTCATTATTTTTATCATGTGCTTATTGGTAGAATAAGCTACCATTTTATTGGTAGAATAAAACCTTGGCATAAAAGTGGGTTTTAGTTAATCAGTCCATTTTCTAGAAATGAAATTTAACCAAAAACAGAGGTGAATAAAAAATAATTTAAAAAAAACAAAAAAAAACCCCAGAGGTGAAGCACTTAATAAACCAAGAATGTAGCACTAACACTATTTTAATTTAATCTGAACAGATAATAAAAATGCCTCAACTGTGTGATAAATGGCCGTGATAGTCATCAGGGACTTTGTTCCTCCTCGTCTTCCCGTGGATTTCATGAACCAGGCAGCACTGGGTGAGAACTGGTGTGTGCCCTACAGCTCACAAAGGACAGGGCCAGGAAGGACCTCAGTAAAGTGGACACTGATTAGACTAACAAACAAAAGACTTAGTCTCAATAAAGGTTTTTTAAAATTATACTTTAACTAAGACAACTCATTATTTTATGGAGTTTCATACTTGCATTGCACATACTAAGCAATCTACTCAAAGAAAAGTCTGCATTTTATATTTTCTCCCCAAGGTTATGTCAAGGATATTTGCACCGAAGAAAGAGTTGTGTCTGATTTTGACGGCTTGAGGGCTGCAGACCAACCCTCGCCCTGTACTGCGCTGTTCTCAGAATTGGGCAAGATAACAAGAAATCATACTTCTGATTGCATAACGGCTAAATGCAGTAGGTTCACTAGTAATCCCAGTTTGTACACTTTAAGGCCATGTGTGTTTCAAATGAACAATAAAGGATTAAGAATTTTATAGTTTAGCCAAATAATTACACATCTCTTACGAAAGTAAAGGATCGTATCGTTCGTTACATTCTTTGAAACAAGGTAAGGACTAAAAGTAAACTGAGTTTTATTTTGAAACGTCCAATTCAAAAGACTATTTATAAAGGAATAAAGTCAAATTATTTATTAGAAGCTAAGATAGATAAAGTTGGTTAATAATTAAATTTTGGACAATAGCACTAGTCTAGAAATATACCGAGGAAATCACAAGGAACTGCAGAATCTGATAAAATTAGTGCATGCTTGCAATCCTCTCTCAGATGCCCTTCCCCCTCTAGTAATCCACAGCTAGCACCCGTCTTTCAGTCAAACTCAAGAGTCACTCCTAGTATTTCCCAGATTAACTTTATCTCACTCTGATCACCTTTTACTGAATATCCACTCTATTCAATAATAGCTACTGTGTTATTAGCAGCTACTGTGTTCCAGGTACTTGGTGAAAAAAATATTAAAAATATTCTCCTATCTGCTTAGTGAAACAAGACATAGACCCCCACATGATATAGAACAAACTGTAAATAATACTTCATTTATTTGCATCGGTTTTTCCACATAAGTAATTTTCCAGATAACTGCAACTTACTACTTAAGGTGCTAATTTATTTTTATCTAACAGGAAAAATCTAAACCCCTTATAACATTTCTCTGCCTTCTTCCAAGCATATATGTAAAATAGTATTGACAACACAGTATCATCATGAGCATCAGTTTCTATACAGTTTTACCACAGTACTGTAAAGCTGTCATTTGGAAAACCAGGGAGCCACGCATATAAATTGGAAATGTTCTTTTGCGTACCATTTTAAATACCAAGTGCAGGGTGAGACGAAAGTGTATGAGCTTCGTGATAGCATTTTCATTGCTGCTGAGCCTTTTTCACATCTAAATTTCCACCTCAGTAACACGTGGTTCAAATTGTTGGAAGTTTGACAACTAAATTAAGTGCAGTGTAAATCAGCAAGTAAATCAATAACATACCAGTCATGTGTGCAGAAAGGACAATGATGTGACCTGAGACTGCTAGAGAAGGCTTTCCTACAAAGGCAGAACTCAGCTATAGGAGAAGTGGGTCCATCGTTCAACACTTCGAACTTACACTACAGTTCCCCTTGCTCCTATACATTGCTTTGAAAGTTTGGTAGCTTTTGATCAGTGGGTTAAATAGTGAAACTGAATAGAAAATGAGAACATTACATGTAGTAAGGTAAATGTGGTTTGAAGACATTTTGTTTCTCAATGGTAAAAAAAAGTTTGAAAAACACTGTTTGCTATAAGTGAGTTTGTATATGTGTTCTGTCTATGACTAGGTAATAAGTTCCATGGGTTTTCTACCTCTTGGTCCTTTCTCCACCAAAGCCTGAGTGTTCATACATTCAGCAAGTGCTAGGGCCACAAGTGCTGACAATGGGGACCTGGAGGCTTCCAGGCCAAAACAGTATCTATGAGGAGGTAAGAGCACAACGTTGTATTACTGCTAAAACAGAAATAAAAGTGAATGATCTCACACAGTTACCTAAGCAGAATCTTATTTCAAACAAACTTGTTTCTAGTTTCTTCAAAAAAATACAGCTTTAAAAGAAAAAAAAAATCATAACCACACTTTAAATATGGAATATATATTTTCTACCAAGAAATAAAAATAATTGTTTAGAATAATGTCTAAGGTGTAAAATTAGTAAACCAAGAATTCTGTTGATTCAATCCCAAATATTTAAAAGTAATCAGGGCAAGAAATGCAAGTTTGTTTTTTTTTCCTAATGACCTCTATAATACTTTTCAACTATGCATGAAGATAGAAAAGGAAAAGAGGCAGGAAATGAAGGTAAACCACTAAAATAGAGGCACAGGATGGAAATCGCTTAAGAGGTTCTCTTGTTAATTGCCTCCTGTTAATCAGAGATACATATTAAACCAGTGTTTCTCTAACGGGATTATTCTGACAATGCAAGGTGATTACTAGCAGAATTGGAGCCTCACACAGTGATGTGCCCATCAGCTCTTTAAAGCTAGTTCCTCTTCAGGGCACTCCATCTTTTAATAGACTCAGGGAAAGTATTGATATTGTTTTATTTTAAGCTGCATTTGACCATTTTATTTTGCCAAAATCTTTTAAAATTTTAGCAAGCTCTTTAAAAAAAATGCACACAAGAACTCTCCACCTGAGTTGAAATTAATAGCAAAGTTTTTATCTAATTAATAAAAATATTTTATATGGAGCCTATGAACAACTGCTTCAACCACTATTGTACTCTTGGGGCCTCAGACTGAGCTGATCTTAAACTCATACTGTTGCTTTAGACAACTGACTTATAGCTTGAGTTCTTTAAGGATGTTTATGTGAATAGAAAAAAACAAAAGGAGACATTTTTCTTGGCTCCAGGGAACGTATATATCCTGATGGATGCCTAACTCGTAGCATTCAATTTCTCAAGCTCTGATTTGCTGCTCTAAACAACAACGTATAAGTCGTATTGCCTACAGTTTAAGCAATGAAAATGAAGATTTTTCCTTAAAGGTCTAATGGGTTTTACTGAACAGTTCATGAATTGTGCAGCATCCCATCTTGCAAATAGAAGGGAGTTCCCAAGATTTTTCCTTATAAACAATAATGTTCTTGAAAAGCAACATAAAGAAACCAAGTCCTTGGGCCAGCCAAGTGGCGCGTTGGTTAAGAGCTGGCTTGGGATGCCAGAGGGACCCGGTTCGGATCCCACATATGAGGGCCAGTGACACTGCCCTCTACAGCTAAGATGCTGACCAACAGCTCAACCTGGAGCTGGGCTGCCATGAGTCACCGGTGACGGGTAGGCTGCAGCCCCTGTGGC